AGTAGTTATTTGTCGAAATACGTATTTGGCACAGCATAATTAGTATAGTTACAGAAGTAATTGGCCTTGCGTAACGATTTTTGATGATTTTTTGTTCATGATCTTGAAAACTATTATAGACAGAATATAATCAGCAATAAAAGATCTTAAAGATGCGTAAACAGAACGATTAACCGGTTAACCGGTAGTTTAGGAGATGCGTAAAGGCCTTATCTTCAGTACTTTACAAATGCACGGTTTTATGATACGATGAATTGAAGTTTATCTATGGGTATTTTAAGGCTTGGACTTGTGGATTCCCGGATACGTTTTTCTTTTAAAAATCCAATAATAATATGAATACTATGGCGTTTGTATTAATTTCAGATTGAGAAAATGAAAATCTTCTTCATCTTGGCGAATTGACAAAGTCTAGATCTGAAACCGAGGATTGTTTCTATTCTGGTGTCTCTGAAACATCTGTGCAGTGTTTCAATTTGAGATGATTAAGCGTGTTACTAGTACACCCAGCATACATTAATTCCAGTATGAGAAAGCCTAGGACAACGGAAATGTTATATTTACATGTTGGTCTACGTAATATTACCTGTAATAAATCGAAGTGAAATAGATCGTAATATATTGTATCAACTTATAACTGTTCAAATGCATGTATGCTAATTATGTTTACTTAAGAACTTGCCCCGAGCTGATAGACAAGTTTTCTTTGTGCTAATTAATTTTGTAAGATTGGAATCCGTTTAAGATCACCCATGTAAGAACAAAGGAGTTGGTATGTAGGTTAAAGTAAGTAGCACGACGATGATTTTAGCTACGATTTTGTGAATACACCTTGCACCTACTTTTAATAATACATATCTGTATATTAAAACAATCAACACAAAGGTGATATTCATGTTGTATCAAGCGTACTTTATCAATAGAGATGCGGAAGATATCAAAGATATATACCTATTAAAAAAAACGTATTTTGTAAAATTCTTCCTTTTAACTATATTCGTTTTGAAGATAACATCTCTCTCTTTTATGGTATAAACTTAAATAGTTGTGATAGCACACATATTTTCATTTTAAATCGATAGGAAGTTTACAAGAAGTTTGCAAAACAAACAAGGTAAGAATTATATTGTATGGTTTGAAATTATACAGAGAGACCCTATAACCTGAAAAAAAGTTCTGTTTATCGTGTACTCTAAAAGAACATTAGCAAACAACTATCAAACAAGTTGAAGGTTAAGCTAGCTATAAAACTAGCTTAAAATCATCGTTGCCTGTACCATGTCATGAATATGAGAGCTATTTTCCACTCGTTTCGTTGGATGAAATTGTCGAGGGTTAAGATTTGTCAGATATTATGGACCCCCCTTTTTTAATTTACCTTGGAGTTTGTTAATACATTTTTGTTGTTTAAGATAGTGCTATCTCATGTTGTAAATAACATTTCAAAACTATTTCAACATGAAGAAATGGTCATAAATATATAATTTTGTAGAAAGAATATACCTATAAGATCTTTATTCTTTCAGTGTTTCTGGAACATGTTTCAATAGTAACTTTTTTGATATCGCAAAGAACGTCTAACTTCGAGTAAAAACTGAAAACAAACCCAATGATCCGTTCAATTATGTATAATTGTATGATGGAAATTGGTCATTATGATTTGAAAAACACTCGAAAAACTATATATTCAAAAGTATATATTACATAAATGAAAAGTCAATTCATCTAAGACCAACTATGCTGAGGTTGTTGGTATCCTAGTTTATAAATAATTTCTGAGAATTTATCAAAGGTAAATTCAAAAGTTTTTCAAAATGATGTGAGTACCGAAGCACTGACTACTGAGCTGATGATACCTTTTGGAACTAATAGTGATCAGCAGAGGTATTGATTCAGTGGTAGAATATGTAAATAATAATATATTTATTTGCTGAGTTGAAGCACTCTTTTCGATTTATCTTAATCAGGAGAGTTCAAACCTTATAAAAATGAATAAGCCAATGATGTTAACCAACTTATTTTCGCGGATACTTTATTTTACGTTTAGCCTTTTCTATCCAAATTCGCGGCGATTTAATTTCGCAATTTTCAAATTTATTTAATGTAGTAAGACAAGGACAGATCCAGGTTTTAGATTTTCGCGACGATTTATATTCGCGTTATTTTTCTTCTCGCGAAAGTCGCGAAAATAAATCGTTCGCGAAAATTAGTTGGGTTACAGTATTTTAACATCATTGGCTTATTCATTTCTATTTATTTTGCATATCTAAGATTAAATTATATACCACAGAGATAAAACGAATAGAAGTAGCAAAAATATTTGAAACGGTTGAACTAAAGATCAAACTGCTATTCTGGTATCTAAAGATCTAAGACTGCGAAAACATGTCTCTAGTGAGTTGAGACACCGACATATAGTATCGGTCAACCAATTCGTTTTTCCTCATAACTCTGTTGCAACAATTTTTATCTTAACTCCTTCTTTAAAGTAAATATTGAATTTGTGAAGTATTTGTATAATAAATCAAACGCTCAGTCCGTCACAATCCTGATTGATCGTTAGGTAATCTTTGAATAATTGGTAACTGATCATTGACCATGACTTATTTGTAACGGCTTGTGTATCGCTTATTACTTGGGCCGACGTGTATAAGTACTGTAACACTGTAGTAGAAATATATGTAGAATGACAAAAAGTACATTTGATCAAATATCGGATGGATATGAACTAATTAAGTTCGTCTTTTTGTCGTTTTCGTATTTTAACATGATGTTGTCAGATTTTCGTCGACTTATGAGTTTTGAATGTCCCCGTGATATCTTCTGTCACAACAGACTCCGAACTCCGAGGAAAATTTAAAACGGAAAGTCCCTCATCAAATGGTAAAATCAAAAGCTCAAACACATCAAACGAATGGATAACAAAGTAGATTTATTCTTCAATATTAACTCTTCTGCTGTTTATGCTTCCTCAATATTCTCATCTTCACTAAAACATACTTCGTAATCAATTGTTTGTCTTCATCATGTTTAGATGATGAACAGTCACTACCTTCAGAATCTAATCAAATACTAGTTCTTCTTGAATTGGAAACAAAATGTTAAATGTTTAAAATGTTTCTTAATTTCTTTCACGCGTCACAAGTGTTGGCTTATGGTTGTTATGTTAACAGATCGAACCATAGGCTCTCCAGACATTACATAATGTAATAAACTACCATTTCTTCCTTCAAAGCCTTTTCTTATCTTTCAAGGAAATCAATAAATCTGTTTCATCAATTTTTAAACATAAACAATACTGTTACACTGTACTTTATGTATTCTAAAATGTATCAAATTTATATTTATAACAATTTTTCCCATACAGGTAATCGAGTCATCCATCTTATTTATCCTAATTTCTATTTCCGGATTGTCACAAAATAAACAATTTTTAGAAAAAAGGAGAGTTTACTTTATTATTAATGAAAATATACTTTAACTAAAGTGGCATTATAGCTACGAGATATGTAAAAAAATAATGTATGATTTTTTTTGTTCAATCGTTAATGAACGTGAAAAAATGAAGTAATAATTCGCTTTTAGCAGCCAGTATGGTTCAATTTTGTCAACATGAGCCAAGAAACATCGCGGATGAATTATTTACTTGCAAGTGAATAATTCGACCCCATTGAAGCCGTATTCATGTGACCTTCAATTTAACCCCTTAGCTAGAGATGGGTTACGCATGAATTATGCGTGCTCAGTTATTAAAAGGAAAAGAATGTCAACATTGAAAGTGAGACAAGGGTTGACTGATTCGATCCACAAAAACTCATTCCTATACAGGTGAAAACGATGATTAACATATATTTTTAACCTATAATATGAAATCAAACAGACCTAGAAAAATCCAATTGCACGAGTTCGCTATCTATTTATATCTACATGTTTTGTTTATATAGAATTATATGACCGTCGGCAGTCTTCGGAGGTCACCTAGATAATTAATAAGATGGCGTCTAGACTAAAATATACGAGAAATGTTGATACATATTATCGATCCCATGCGTTGTAAATTGTCTATTTTAGACTTTTGATAATTTGTATATACGTTTTCGTATATTAGAAATTAAATATGAGAATTTGAGTCAAATTGGCGAACAAGAATTTGACAGCTAATGCTTAAAAGTCTTTTTTGTATTTTGGGAATCAGTCTAAAAATAATAATTATACTTCTGCCTTCTAGGCGCAAAATACCGAGTTGTTGAGAAAATTGAGACCTCGGTAAGCTCCGGAAATTTTTCTGGAAGTCTTTATTATGGGTCGGTTACCTGATTTTCCGGTTCTATTATTTTTATTTTGCGTTGACGAAGAATACAAAACTCATCAGAGCTACTAGTCTTATGAACATGTAAATGGGGTTCCTTATTTTGATTAAAAGCAAAATAATCTTTAAATTATAAACAGTATTTTTTAAAATGAAATGGTTGGATTCATTACGTTTGAGGAAGTGAATAAACTCTGTTTATTTTCAGTCAAGTATGTTTACTAATACAAGGAAGTATTGCAAGCCAAAATCGTAATTTTATCAACGTAAAATATAAACGACTACACTTTATCAATGTTTGAAAACTGTACGCATTCATAATGTAGTTTTTAAGAAATCCGATAATTTTGAACGTAAATATTCATTGATAAAATAAAGGTCAGGTGACATTTTTTAAGGAAATGCAGATGAAAAATAAATATACAAATAGGAATTTCAAGTTATTAATATAATTGTAAATATCATATTTATGTTAGAGAAGTTTGGTGAATTAAAAGCTTTTATGCGTGGGCATAATAGTTTTCAACCTATTTTATCACAACAAGGTATTATTATTGATATATCGTAGAAAATTGTTTTACTTCATTTCATTACAGAAAGCTCTGACACTTATAGTTTTAATACATCATAAAATATTGCACATAAAAAGAAAACAGTATGATTTTTTTTTTTTAGATATGACATCAAAAGATAAAACGAACTATTTCAAGTTGGTTGCATTAACGGTTAATATTGCATATAATGTAATCTGGAAATATATAAGCGAAAGAATACTTGATTCCTTAAGTTTTGAATCATTTCTGAATGTAAAAAAGGAAAAGCACAAGTTGGTTCACTTGTATGAAACAAAAGATTGCTGTGAATGTTTGTCGGAAAAGATAAATGGACAAAGATTGATATCAAGAAAACAATTACTCCTATTATATAATTCAGATGAAACACAGCAGATTAAAAGTCACATTAAATATACTGGCGGGAAAATGTCCCAAACATGCATCTGTAATTATTCTGCAATAGAAAAAATTAATGTGAAAATAGTTGATATCACACTCGCCAACCATATAATTCAGCAATGTGGAAAGCACGAGTTAGGGGTAAATAATTGGATAGAACAAATCAAAGACGTGCGAAACGAAATTTTCCATTTATCAGATATACAAAAATTAACAGACGAAAGATTTAGCCGGAAATGGACAAAATTAGAAGGATCCATATTGGGAATAGCGCAACTAATAGACACTCATTATGCCGAGCAAATTAAGAACAATATTCTGCAAACAAAAACGCTTTCTTTTATTCCTGATTACATGTTGAAGTATGAGATACTATGTCGTGACTACTGGAAACATAAATGTGCTGAATTTGAGGTAAGATATTGAGGTATGGTCATATATTAAAAAAATAGTAATTTGTTTTTCACAGGATGGTCCCTAATTGTTACTCAAAAACTATAACGCAAACGCTTAACCATGAAAATTGTATTCTTAAAAACTATGTCGGCTCATGATTAATTTTTTTTCAGTGTAATTTCCATTGAAACTTTAGAAAACATGATAATAATAATGATAATAATAATAATAATAATAATAATAATAATAATAATAATAATAATAATAATAATAATAATAACAATGATGATGATGATCGATATAAACTTGTTTTATCTTTTCATATTACTTGTTTTATCTTTATATGTATATGATACTTTATGAAGAGAGTGCAGATTCTAGAAATTGAACAAAAATCAGCCGAACTTCACTTTCATGTGCCAGAAATTTTCAATAAATCCATGAAAACAGACTGCCAGACAACCATGAACAAAATACGTAAATATGCAGAGTAATAGTCAATAACAAATGAGTTTTTACTTCGAAATGCGATATGATAACGGGACTTCAGATATAAAAGGTTTGAGCTTTTCAAAACACCGCCATATGCCGTACAAGTATATGTCTGTCCAAAGCCAGGTTCATATAATTCAGTGTTTGTCGTTGGTTACTCTTGGCATATTTGTTGTATCAAGATTAAGTAGTTTGTTTTTTTTTAGTTTATATAAAAAAAAAGATGTGGTATGATTGCAAATGAGACAAATCTTCACAAGAGACCAAAATGACATAGAATTTGACAACTATTGGTCACCGTACGTCCTTCAACAATGAACAAATAATTAGATTTTTTTACACGCATTCATGTCACACACAGTATTTTTTTTCCTCATTTCATGGTATGTGATGGTTTTGCGAATTTTTGAAGATCATACGGCGATATATAGTTACTAACATCCACGTACTTGGGTCTCTGGTGAATATCTGTACCTATTTTGGTAAATAGTTTAAACATATTTTTATATAATTGCAATTTACGAATGTTAAATTTGAACAAAATATGATATTCATTTGTCTTGGCTTTTTAGTGAATCATCCAAAAACGTCCTTTTAATTAATGTAAAATTGAGAATGGAAATGGGGAATGTGTCAAAGAGACAACAACTCGACCATAGAGAAGACAACAGCCGAAGGCCACCAATGGGTCTTCAATGCAGCGAGAAACTCGCGCACCTGGAGGCGTCCTTCAGCTGGCCCCTAAACAAATATGTATACTAGTTCAGTGATAATGGACGTCATACTAAACTCTAAATTATACACAGGAAACTAAAATTAAAAATGATACAAGACTAACAAAGGCCAGAGGCTCCTGACTTGGGACAGGCGCAAAAACTGCGGCGGGGTTAAACATGTTTTTTTTAGATCTCAACCCTACCCCTATACCTCTAGCCAATGTAGAAAAAACAAACGCACAACAGTACGCACAGTAAAACTCAGTATAAGAGAAGTCCTAGTCCGATGTCATAGGAAACAAAAGAAAATAAACAAAGTGACAATAATACATAAATAACAACAGACTACTAGCAGTTACTGACATGCCAGCTCCAGACCTCAATTAAACTGATTGAAAGATTATGTCTTCATCATATGAATATCAGGCACAATCCCTCCTGTTAGGGGTTTAGTATTATACCGTCATAAAATATATGAGAAGAACATAACCCGTGTCATGCCAACAACTGGTTTGAGAATAGATGTGTTTAATTCCGATGCAAAGACCTTATAAGTGAATCAATATTAAAGCCAAAATATGCAATCTTTAATGACCTGACAACAGTATCGTAACTCTATCCCTTCTTAATAAGTCTGTTTAAAGGTTTTGTTAACTTTTGAGGGGAAAACTGACATTTTTTGTGCTTTGTAAAGAATATTACCATAAAAGATTTGATGTGAAATACTCGAACGTATAAGATGTCTGCATGTTGAGTTATATTTACGAATGATGTCCTTATACCGATGATAAAATTTAGTAAATGTTTTGACTAGTTTATGATATCGAAAACCCTGGTGTAATAATTTTTCAGTAATACATAAATTTCTCTCGCTAAAATCTAATACGTTGTTACATACACGAGCAAATCGTACAAGTTGAGATATATAAACACCATAAGATGGTGACAAGGGAACGTCACCATCTAAAAATGGATAATTAACGATAGGAAATGAAAAATTATCTCTTTTATCATAAATTTTGGTATTAAGCTTCCCGTTAATGATATAGATATCAAGATCGAGGAAAGGACAGTGGTCATTGTTAGTATTAGCTTTATTTAAAGTAAGTTCAACAGGATAAATTTCTTTAGTATACATACTGAAGTTGTCATTATTGAGAGCCAATATATCATCCAAATATCTAAAAGTATTGTTACATCTTTGTATCAGATGTTGTTTCAATGGGTCTTTGCTGATTTTAGTCATAAATTGTAACTCATAACAATACAAAAACAGGTCCGCAATAAGTGGTGCACAGTTAGTCCCCATTGGAATTCCGATAGCTTGATGATATACGGAATCTTCAAAGCGAACAAAAATGTTATCAAGTAAAAATTCAAGAGCAGATATAGTATCAAAGCATGTCCAATTGACATAGTTCTTTTGTGTGTTGCTACTAAAAAATGACCTAAAAGAGTTTGAACATATGTGTATTCGCATTCCGACTTTTTAAATGCCCATTTAATTAGGTGTGTGAATTTTTTTCTTAATAAGAATATGAGGCAAAGTGGTATATAGGGTAGAAAAATCAAAACTTTGGACAGATTCAAAATCACCAATATATGCATGCAATTTATCAAGTACTTCAAACTAGTTTTTGACACTCCAAAAGTAATTAATTACACTATTTTCAAAGGCTTTATTTGAACAATTTATTATCAGGTTTTTGATTGTACCAAGTGTACTAGTAAGTAGAATAGACAATTTAGTAGTGGAACAATGACTTGAAGACGAAATAAATCTATATTTGTAAGGTGATTTGTGTAGCTTCGGAAGCCAGTACATAGTTGGGACTTTCATTGTATTTGGTTCTGCTCGTAAAATTCTGTGCATTAAAAATGTACAGAATGCACTTAAACTTCGATTAAAAACGTCCAGAGAAACACACGAAAGAGAGCATAAGATACCAAAAGGATATTCAAACGCAGAACCACTAATTCGGACCTGGCCTGATAGAACATACAAGAAAGAAGAACATATTTAAGCAAAATAGTTCCTACGCATAGCTGTAAATTTGTCAATAAATAAAATATTTGGGCAATTTTTGGTATGAAATGAAGCTTAAGGGCTTGGGACCACTGTTAAACATTGTTAAAAGTTTCTAACAAATAAGTAAAAAAATTAAGTAAAGCTAGGAGGGGATATTTGCCCTGTTGTTTAGATCAGAAGTACCTGTTTTTGCGCTCTAATATACAACTAAAGGTATGTTGAATATTTCAGCACACATCAGGGTAATGTCTAGTTTTGACATGCAATGTCACTATATTTGAACTTATACCGGAATCACACATCAACGTAAAGCACCGACGTACGCCGGGCGTGGTCAAAACCATGTACGCTGCCAATACGCTAGTAATTTTGGACGCATTCAACTTGTCAATCATAACTGTATCGTGTGCACAGCGAGCTTTAAGCGTGTTTAGGGCGTACGAGAAGCGTACATACTGTAAACCAACTAATTTTCGCGAGCGATTTATTTTTCGCGACTTTCGCGAGAAGAAAAATAACGCGAATATAAATCGTCGCGAAAATTTAAAACTGGGATCTTTCCTTGTCTAATTACATCAAGTACATGTGAAAATCACGAAATTGAATCGCCGCGAATTGGGCTAGAAAGGGCTAAACGCGAAATAAAGTATCCGCGAAAATAAGTTGGTTTACAGCTAGCGTTTATCGGGAACGTATGTTTGCGTATGTCTGGCGTTTGTCTTACGTAGATGAAATGCACGCTACGAAGGAAAAACGTCCCTTGAACGTATTTTTGACGCGTTCCGGTCGTACTTTGGACAATTATCCGTGCTTTCGGCGTGTCTGGGATGTGTGATTATGGGGTGTTTGTACTACTTCTGGATACACATGGTCTTGTGTTCCCAAATTTTGTATAATAATTCATTTCGAAATGCCACCCAAAAGAAAGAGGCAGAGGTAAATCAGTTCTTGGTCGTGGCTTGGGCCGTTGGATGATGAAAACGTCAGGAACAAGAAAGAGAGTGCAAAAAAAAAGAATACTGGGGACCAGATTCAACAAGTCAGTCAACCAAGTCTTTCATGTTCAAGTCGTCCTGTTATTCCAGTTTGATTTTTGTCTCGCCTGCTTCGAAAGACGCTGGAGGCGAGACATATGTATAGCTATTCCTGCGGCGAAGGCGGCGGCTGCGTTAACAAGTTGGTGAAAGCTTTATAACTCAGAAGGAAGAAGACCTAGACCATCCATGTTTTATCTATATATGTCTTATGTGGCAAGCTTTCTGTCCGTCACATGTCAGATGTCCTTGACCTCATTTTCATGGTTGAATGACTTTGTTTATTCTGCGACCATTTTTCGTGATAAGTTCAGTTTCTCAGCACATAGAATACCTTGAGTTATGGTAATAGGTCTATAGACTCCTCAGTAGGTGCCCATGTCAGTCTGACATATGTCACTAAACCATGACCTTATTTTCATGCTTCAGTGATCAATTAAGAATTTTATATTCCGAAATGCCAGTAAGCAGGCGAGACATTTTAGCGTGTCCACTCTTGTGTAGACTTTGCACTGCAGACTTTCCTCGTTTACCATGTATCGCAATATTGATGTGCATGAAGTCATACTGTTCCTGTGTACATGGGTGAATTAAGAAGCATGAAAGAATGTTTTCAATTATAACCAAGTCAAGTGAGTGTAAACATAACGTATTAAACCATTTTACAGATGTGATCAATTTTTTAATTATTATTCATGTCTCATATCATTCTGTCCTGCCATGCATCTGATACAGGAGGCGAGTTTATCCAGTGCTTGATAAGGTTCCTCTGCATTCTCCCTCTCTTACTGTCAATATTAGCTGCTGTAACATTCTGGGTATCCTGCAGATTCGGTCTCTGCCTCCAAGCTCCTGGAATTAAATTCCTGTTGATGGGTTGTTCACAGTCTAGGTGTTGGTCCTGAAGCCCAGGATAGCGAATTCTCATCAGATTGTGTAGAATAATGCATGTCTTCACTATCGGACGAACTGTTGATGGGGAATGACCCATTGTTGAGAGGAGAATTCTGAATATGTTGGCAAAAATACCAAAGGCGTTCTCACCAACACGCTTTGCTCGTTATAGTTTATAACTGAATATACGTTCTTCTCTGTCCATTGTCCTATGAGAGTAGGGTTTCATCATCGTCGTTCTTAAGGCAAATGCGGGAACGTCTTCGGTATCATTTGGAAGAGGCTCGGCATCGGGGAAGCATATGCTTCCAT